CTGCCACTGGATTACATCCCTAGACTTTTTAAAGTTTATTTTTAAAACAGTGTCTTGCTAAACTGCCCAAGCTGGGCTTGAGCTTGAGATCCTCCTGTGTAGCGTCTGGAATAGCTGGGATTCCAGGCATGTGACACCCTACCTGGCTAGAGCAGGGATGCCTATGTTGGTGTAGACGTCAGAATCCCCTAGAGGGCTTGTTGAAATTGTGATTTCTGGCAGTTTCTGATTCGGGGGCGGGGGTGTGGACTGAGAATCAATGTATCTAACAAATCCTCAACAAACACTGATTCTGTTGGTCACGGAGATCCTGATCTGCGAGTCATTGCGTGTGTGTGGCAAAGGGGACTGAACCCAGGACCAGTGCATTCTACCACTGAGCTCACTCCTCGTACTTTTACTTATCTAATTTTGAGATGAGGTTTCATATGATGCCCAGACTGGTCTCTAACTTTTGGGCATGAACTTTTGGTTTCCCAAGAGCTGGGATTACACATGTGTGTTACTGTCCCCAGCTGTAATCTATGCAGGATCATGGCTGTCAATAGCAGGAGGAAGAGACACAAATTCTTTTTCATCTTTCTTCTCAGCTGAGGTGGGAACTGACAAGAGATTGACCAAGAGGCTCATGGCCCTGGCAAGAGGAACCACTGTGGTCGATGCTTTAAGATCACTGGATCAAAGGGCCTGAGTTCAATCCTTGGTTCCGAAAAAAAAAAAATCACTGGAACAGGAACCAGGAGATGTGAGCTGCTGGACTGCCCTTGAGTGAACTCATGGTGTGTTCTTAGTTTATCTCTCTGTAAAATGACCAGGCAGCATTTTTCCAGTTGTTACTGTGTTCTAGATAATGAAGAAGGGAAAGAAGAAGAGGAAGAGGTGGAAGAAGAAGAGGAAGAGGCAGAAGAAGAAGAAGAATATGAAGAAGAAGAAGAAGAAGAAGAGGCAGAAGAAGAAGAGGCAGAAGAAGAAGAAGAAAAGAAGAAGAAGAAGAAGAAGAAGGAGGAGGAGGAGGAGGAGGAGGAGGAAGAAGAAGAAGAAGAAGAAGAAGAAGAAG